AGTTGGTGACATTTGAGCCCATCATTGTAGCCACTGCCCCATCCCATCTTGTCAAGGGTCATCCTGTTTCCACTGCCCTTCTACTTTACCAAACCCGACGTCCTTTTTAGGGATCGGTCTCTCCTGAGAGCATGCCCAAAGTCTGTAAGACCACATCTCACCACCCTTGTCTCTAGGGAGCACTCTGGCTGTACTTCTTCCAATAGATTGGTTTGTCCATTTCGCAGTCGATGCATGGTACTGTCAACATTCTCCAGCACCACAATGCGAATGTATCTACTCTGTCTCAATCTTCTGCAAGCAGTATCCAGCTCTCACATGCATGTGAGACGATTGAAAATACTATGGAGTCTCTGGCTCCACCCTAGTCTCAGGGGTCCCAATGGAGGAAGCTCAGACACAGATTGGTGGTGCCATCAGAATGCCCCCTGAGTTGACTCTTCGCCAAGCAGGAAGGTGCCTGGAACAGCCAGGGAAGGTACGCACTTGGGGAAAGGCATCGGCTTTGTCGATGAGAGACTTCCGCGTCCTTGTGGAGGATGACTGGTGTCAGCAGGTCGGGCGGAAGTCAGACCAAGCCTGATGGCAGTGATGGCCAGTAGCAGAAGAGCTCATCAAAGGGACCAAGCTGGTGTTGAAGGAGGGACTGGGAAGAGTGTGTGTGAGAGGTCACAGCTGGATGAAAGGTCCTTCTCCCGCTGCCTCTTCGTGACATGTTGCCTTAAAACTGCTCTCTCCAAAAGTCTCTGGGTCCTCCCAATCGCCATAGCCCTGTTTGGCCTCACTCCCACACTCCTCATGGTAGCAAGAGACATGATTGTGTTTGGTTGTTAATGAAAGAGCTTGGGCTCAAGACCCAACCAGCAGGGTTTACACTGAGATGAGGGAACGTTGGTGGTCCTGGTGCTGCAGGGCCTGCAGATATAGTTGCTAACAGGAATCCCCCCCAACTTTTCAGGGATGTTCCAATCCCTAAATCCCATGATCCTTCTGGTGCATCGAGCACCTTTGTAAGCGCACAGCAGTTGTTGTTCGTACCGTTGCATGAATACTGCCTCATAGCGAGTCCGAGTGAGAGGAGAGTGGCCCACTGTCTGATTCTCGTGGCTGCCATCTTGACGGGAAGAGGTTGTCAGCTCTTTCTCCCATGGAGCACCTCAGGGGTCCACACCATGGACCAGTCAGTGAATGGTACCGGGATCAACCATGCCACCTTCATGGCTCCTTCAACCAGGTGGTTGCTGCTGCTGCTGCTGCTGGGGCCACTGCACCCATTCCAACTCACAGTGACTGCGTTAACCCAGGCTACCTAGAGAAACAAATCCAGGGACACGCACAGATGTATCAGAAACACATGCAATGACGCCGAATGTAGAAGATCACAGGCCAGTGGGTGGGGAGTCTTGTGGATCCAGTGGTGTTGTAAGCATCTCAGCACTGGCAGGGGTCTGTCTCCACATGGCTTCTCCAGTTCCAGCGGTCTGGCTCCATCAGCCTTTCTCCATATGTCTTCTCCACAGGGATGTCTCACGGGGACTGAGCAGAGCGAGAGAGAGAGTCTCCCTCCCACCTCTGAGGAGGAAATACAGGAGTTCCCAGAATCCTCAGGAGAAGGTCATGCCCACCCAGAGGCCTCATTGGCTATATCCTGATTGACAGGCTAGACTCCACCCCGACAATCTTAATCCTCAAATTGACACCAGATTATGTAACTATCACAAAGAGGATGGGGGTTGTTTGTTTGTTTGTTTGTTTTTTAATAAATCATTTTATTCGGGGCTCATACAACTCTTATCACAATCCGTGCATACATCAATTGTGTAAAGCACATTTGTACATTCATTGCCCTCATCATTCTCAA